AATATTTAAAAGTTTTAATTAATAATTTAAATAAGATTATAATGATACAGTTATTTTTACATCTATATTTTTATTTCTTGGATGGCTAAAATTTTTAGTTTGATTTTAAATGAAACATCAAGCAGTCAGTTTCTAAATAAAATGATAAATATATTTATATATTGAACTTGAATGTTCAATATTCAGAAATTTACACAATTTTTTAACATTTTTCATGTGTATAAATTCGTATATTTGAATTCAGTAAACTGCAAACGAAATCATCACAAATCCAAGTAACCAGAGCATTGATCGAAAAAATTAAATTTATTTTGTCCAAATTTTGCAAATTATTTCCTACTATTTTGCTACTTATTGTCTTCTCTCTATACACATTGGAAATGCTATGAAAGATAATTGAAACGCTTAAATTATTTCAAAACTTAAATAATCCTATGTGAAATGCAGAATTTGTATCCCCGCAATTATCTTCAAAGATTATTTCAGTTACTTAAATATTCCAAGCAAGATAATTCCTTGCTTAAATGACAGCTAAAGTGTCTGTCACTCTTCAACACAATAAAAATTACATAAATATTTTAAATAAACAGTATTATCATAATTTTTAATGATGTCAACTATAGCTATCGAAAATCGAACCGAAAACTTTTGTAATTATCTAATATTTATAATTCTGATATATTATACATATATGTAGTTGTTAACGTGCATTTCATTTATATATACATATAAGCTTCGTCCACCGTGCTCATCATGTATGTGCAATACATTATTTCGCTCAAGTGCGGCTGTATGTATTGGCGTATCCTGTAATTAATACTAGCTACGAGGTTTGTCGTTCAACATAATCATCCGATAAAGATCTAAATTGGTTGTTTTCCATTATACAATATTTGTACGTTTCTTGAAACATGCGCAATGTTACCGCGAAATAACTTTCGCACGATCCCTATTGCGCGATTCTGTACAATATATTACACAAATTAATTAAATTATCTTCCCATTTAATTCATAACATCAATTTCATTAAATCATTTATACGTCGACAGATTACTTATTAGCTTGTTTTTCGACACTGAACTCTACAAATACATCAGAATCAAAGACACTTTTATTATATTATTAAATTTTTTATATATATATATATATATATCTTGTTATTTAAATTGATGTTTGTTGTACATTTAACAAAAATTATTTTTGAATCAGTTTTAAATCTTTCTTGTAAGTAATTAATACATAATCTTTAAGTAACGGTTAATACAGAGATAATAAATATTATGCTGCGAAACTCCTTTAACTACATTACCTCTTCTGCAATTTAGTGATATTGCTCGAAATTTGACGTTATAGAGCGTTTACACATAAATAATATCCTTTCTCTTCATTCTCGCTATCTATTTGACTATTTATGTAATTCATTTTGTGCACAATACAGTCACGGCGAAAGTGTAACAGGTACAAAATAATTGCTTCCTATGTGTAATTGCTCGCTTTTTCCACGACAGTCATTTGTAGCAAGTCCGGTAATCGCGCTTATTCCCCATCCGTCTGATAATCGCTTTTCGTGCCGCGCGTACATTACAATGTTAACGACAGAAAAAAATAATATTAACATGAAGCAATCAGTGTTGAGAAGGCGTTTCGCGCGGAAATGGCGATTTTCTGCCGACCAAAAAAAACTTGCTGCAAGATTTATCTTTTCTGCTCGAATAACGCAGGACAATGTATATGTAAATGCGAACACTGTAATAAAGATTAAGAAAAGAAAAAAAGGGCTATCAAAGGATAGAGTAAGAATAATAATTATGGCTATGTCATTATATAAATTTCTGGAATTTGAAAAAAATTTGGATCTCTATTCACATGAAACTTTTTTCGCTAGTATTATTAACGGAATAGCTATTGAAATTTTGCCAGATGCGTTTCAAGAACACTATAGGTTTGAAAAGAGAGTAATTAAAATAATAATGTGCCGCTCGTACAATTTCTTGTGCATACATTGATAGATCTAGGTTATCTATCTGTGTTGCTGCAACGTCACGTATGGATGTACAGAGGACGATAACGTCCACTGGGTTACATCGTTGCACCGGTAATCGTATGGCGATCCTCCTGACGGATATTCTCGATTTGTCGCCTTATCTAATCGCAGGCGGATACGCGCGTCGTAACCGCATGTGGCCAATCGAGCAGCGAGGTGACTAAATTTACAAATACGATGTCCTACTCAAACTCAACAACTCGACATTCTACGAGGAGTGTAGGGTATACCCTATCTAGGACATTAAAAATATTTTGCTTCTACCTAAAAATATATGTTGAATTAACTATATGCAGAAAAGAGAAAAAACTGATAGAAAATTGAGTTCTTTTCTATTTCTAGAACAATTTGTAGCTTAATTATTCTAGATTGATATAATAATTTAGCGCCTAATATTAGTCACATCAACCTTTTAATAGAAATGTTGCTTCTAAATAGAATTTTTTCTCTCGAAATCGACGCTCGCTTTCTTAAAATATTTGAAAAAAGATATTTTAGTTATTTGCACCTTTTCTGAATCTTCATATTAAAAACAAAAATTAACAAGTATTACTAATATCAAAAATATTACGAATATCGATTATCATTACAAATAACGAGCATGTCCAACTAGCATTTGCTAAATAGTCGACAAGATAACTTTCGGAATGAGATACAAGATTTCAAGGATATTCGTATAAAGCGAGAAACACCAAAGAGAGCAGATAGAGGAATTCTTGGCAGACGGCCATTGAGAGAAATATGAACTGAGAGCTTGCTTCTACGGTAACACGTAATAAATTCTGTCATGGGGTGCCAGCAGACAGGCGCATGTAATGGAATGTATTATATAGTGTATAGAAAAGAGAAGAAGTCGTCTTTATTCATCTACAAAACACGTATACTTCTCTATCTCGACGGTTAATATTAGTATCGTTCCAATATTATTGTTCAATCAAATTATAATATCAAGTATTAAAATATAATTAAACTTTCATTGAGTTTAGTTGTAGATAATAGTATAAAGTCAGAAATAAACAGATCCTTTTCTTGAATAATATACATCAATTAACAGTATTTTATATAGATAAAAATTGAATAAAACTTTTAAAAAATTGGAAGGATGTCTCCGGAAGACTGAATCCTTACTCAATAGCATGTCTGCTAATTATTGCACATAAAAATCAAGGAAGAAAGGATGTTGTTATCCCAAAGATGTTCCTTTCCCACCCTCCCAAACAATAGAAGGAGTATCGATCGTCGGAAGTGGGCGATAAAACGGCACGGGAAAGCCCCCTAAATGGCAGGGATTTATTTTTAGTCTCTTGTGTACGCGGTTCGCGATAGGGAAAGTCTCGATTTCATGCTGACGAAGCGCACGCGCTTCTCGTAGCGTCAAGAGGTATTTCTCGATGAACCTGACTCAGCCATCAGCCGCGCGTTGTTGCGCACGGTCAATGACACCGCTGGAAACAACTTTATTGTTCCGACCACGCATATCGATTCTTCGAACGAGATGACGAGGATGATAAATAATTAATATAATTAACAGTTCATTGATTAAAATCAAATTAAAGGGACAGCCGAATCACTGTTATTATGGCACGTGATAATGCTTTTACATTAATGAAATGTTTCGATTTTATTTTATGTCAATTTCAATAGCAGTTTTTTTAAATTACAAATTTTTATTAATAAATATATATAGCAAGACCTGGAAGCACTGAGAAAATATAATAAAAATATAAAAAAGAAACTCAGATATAGTTCTTGCTACATAATTATTTTTTAGAAAGAGATTATTAATTAATTCTCTCACACACACACACATTCATTCTTTTCCGAAAATATAGAAAAATAATTATAACTTTAAATATCATAAAAAATGATAACTTTCATAACGCGCATTTTACTTTGATGCAACACTTTAATATAAGCTATCTATTAATTCACGACACAATAAGAAGATTTTTTCATGAAAGAACAAGCAAAAGATGTACAAAAAATCTTCTTGATTAATTGCGTACTTTTTGAAAAAAAAAACGAAAGCATATTAGATATAAAAAAAATTACGTGCGACAAATATCTTACTAGTCAATAAACGTACATGCGATAAAATAAATCGACTATGATACGGAAATATATATAATAGATTAATGAGAATTGTTTTCTCTCTTAAAATCACAAAACTTGAGTTAAGCTATATTCTTGATTTTCGCTATAATTACGCTGGCGAGATTGTACCCGCTATCAAAATCGAAGTGTCAGATAACTCGTGATTGGCACTCTTCCAATCTGCTGGCGATCTTCGATCTGTTAGCAAAAAACCTTTTCCCTTGTTTCGGTTACGTATATTACGAAAATGCTTTGCTTCGATAAAGTACATACAAAAAATTAGACTGTATCATAAATTATAAACCACAAATTTCAGAAAATTATAAAAAATATTAGAACACATTCGTAATTTAATTATTATTAATTATTTATTACGTTATTTGAGATAAATCTTCAAAAGTCTGATCATTAATTACGGTCACAAAGTATTTGCAAGGACTGCGAAAATCTAAATCTAGAATTGCATTTAGAGATTTAAAACTGCATATTTCTTTTATAAAACTTCATATCGAAATATTTCGTGGCCTGAATAAATAAATAATTGAATGTTGTAACGTGTCGAACACGACACATATTTGGATACAGAAACGATCGCATACCTTGGCATCCCGACTCTTCATCTCCTGCCTCCTGGGCATGGTATTCTCCCCATCGGCGTATACGAGATTCCTAATAAATCCATTGAATCTCGGCTCGAATATCACGCTGGGCAGCGCCAGCAGTGTGAGCTTGCTGTTGTACCAACTAGGCATACCGCCCACGTAGACGTCCGAGTTCCCGGCGAGCTTGCCGAACTCGAACTCCTTGCCGCGCGACGTGGATACCGCGCTGACACCGTCCACGGTCAGGGTGGTATTCTCGTTGCACCTGGTGATCTGCACTTTGTGCCAATGACCGTCGCCGAGATCGTGGCCGACCGTGACAATCTGTGCACCTCCACCGAGGTTGTACCTCAGTCTGAGCGCGCTCTCAACCAGCTTTACCTCGAAGAAGTCGTACGTGCCGCCGTCGTCCGTGTAAAGCAACAGCCCGTTACCCTGGTCGGTCTTGAATTCAAATTCCAGGGTGCCGTTCAGGCCGGCGTTCCATTTGCGAAATTGTGCATAGCTGGTCGCGGAGCCCTCCAGCACAAACGAACGGGCCACCTGGCAGGCGAGCAGGAGCACCACCGGCAAAAGCGGCGCCGGTATAAGCGAGGGATGACGCATGATTCAATTCTTGAATCCAGATCCTTACCGCTAGATCCTGCTCATTCGTCCGTTAGATATCGGAGCGCGATGACGTCACGCGCTCATACGCATTCCGCGTAGGAGCCCGAAGCGTGGGTGCGTGACGTCGGCCACGTTGTGACACCCGGCTGCTGCATCCGTGAGCACGTGAGCACGCACGCGCGATTCGTGCGAGATGCACCCGTGGTGGGCGTGATACGCGGTTCGCGAGAGTACGCGATGTTTCTCTCTCGTACGTATTTCTGTCTTTCTTTTGCAATGTAAATATCTTCAAATGTCTTCGATTAGCGTTTTCTTCATCTCTCGTAACTTATTAATAAACAATCTGAGAAGAATCATTTCCCGACACCGTTTGAACAAATCTCTGAATGTTTGTAATTTATTTTTGTTGTTACATTTCAGGAGCTCTCTTTTCTTTCTCAAGATAATTTCCAATAATGGATGTTTACGAGAAAACTTTGCTTTGTGATAATAATTATTCATAAAATGATACTTTTATGCTTTATCTTCGATAAAATTACTTTAATTAATGAAATTCATTCATTGCTTCAATAAAAATCGATATTTCTGGATATGTCTTCAATTTCAGGTTCAGTCTGTCAGTTGGATGCATCAAAATTTGTAAATGTATACGTTTCAAATACACTCTAGAAACATTGGAAACGCGACAAGAATGCACATCTTTTTATTAACACGTTTATATAATTTTAAGTTGTGTATCAATCAGTTAATAATAAAAAGTTTCCTGGAGAGAAAACGCTTTAATCAGATGTTTATTGTGTTACTTTTTTGTACAATCCAAAAAAAAAAAAAAAATAAACAGATTGTTTGATGTTAATTAAATTAGGACAGTATCTTTTTCCAGAAAACATTAATTATATTTATTTCCTAATGCACTGTTTGATTAGTATAATGCAACTTTTTCGAGCATGACTAACATCTTTTTACGGAGGATCATCAATCGGCCACAGTCACTTAAATACATTTGAAAGAACAAAAATAATATCAATACGTTCTAATCACTTTTACAATGCAAACTTTCTTTCTTTGCAACCCTTACAATTAACGTTTTTTTATTTTCTCCAAGATTTTGGTTTCCGAGAAACTGATCGATTATTTTATCGCATTTATTCGATAGATGACAATCGTTAACATCGAAGACGGCATACAATTATCGAAAAAGAAGTTAAGTCTTCAGGACTTGATGATAAAATAATTCACGTATATTCACTGAAGAAGTTTCGATTTATTTGAGAGTCTAATCGGCAAATCCTATCGAAAAGATAAGGATATGGAAAATTCAACAATTATTAAAGGACCGTTAGTACTACTTCAGTTTCTTCCTGTCTCTCACGGTTCTTGAAGAATCCTCGGATTGATAGCGCATAGCAATCCAAATAACAACTTCCACGATGCCGAGGGAGCCGTTAACCCCCGTATTGCTTCGTGTCGAGGGTGCCTAGTCGTGATCCCCTCGGGTCGTCTCGTAACACGGTCGCGTCGCGATGGCACACTTTCTCCTTTAGTGGGCTATATACGTATACGTTTCGGGAAAAACGGCGGCGAAACGACACACGAAGCGTCTGCTGATCAGTCCGGAATCGCGAGGGACGTCATCTAACCTCGACGAGCTTCATCTCCAGCACCGAAGGTCACCGGATAGAGAGCGGTCCCAGCGACACGACCTCGACCTAATCACGCGATGAGGCACTTTCACCACACACCAGCTCTCTGTATCCCTCCCTCTCCCGGCGTCGCGACGCAGAATCGCAGAGAGAGAGACACGGTGGATGATCGCACGGCGACGTTCGTGACGACGCCGTTCCCGACGTGGTGGGCTCGTGGTTGGCGTCGAATGGCGCCGGCACAGCACGGATCGCTTGTTTAAGCCGTCAGACGACCAGTACCCTGAACGCGGTTCACTCTCGAGTCAGCCATCCGTTCGTATCGCGATCGATCCGGCCGCGCGCTCCATTTTTCTCTCTCTCTCTCTTTCTCTTTCTCTCTCGCTCTCGTTCTCTCTCGCTCTTCACCACCCGGAGGCTCTCTCCGAGGCGAAACTGGATGTACAAGTCGAACGCGCGCGCGAAATCCACGTAAAATCCAGTCCCACCGTTATCGTCTTGATAGCTAGTCGCGGTATCAATTGACCGATTCCCGGAGGGTTGGATCAGTCGACCCTCTCGACGACTCCCGGTTTGATACTAGCTTGGCGAGACAGAGCGACGTTCGGTCGGAACGCTCGCCTGCCGATGACGATGGTGCGACGCCCCCGGCATGACGCCGACGCCAACGCCGACGACGACGTCCACGCCGACGCCTCGCGCCGTTCCTCTGCGCAGTCGCGCATCGGGGATGAAGATCGGACGAGGAAGAGGGAAGAAAGCACGGTGGTGCGAGAGGGTTGTTCTCTTCATGTCGGTGCCTGTCTGTCTGTTCGTCCGCTCGTCGTATAACCCCTAGGTAGGACCAGACGAGGGTGGCGGAGGGACACGGACAATGCGATGGTGTGCACCTCCGGCGAAAACGTTAGCGACGAGAAGCGTTGAAAAATTGTTGAGCGAATCCGCGATCGAAGACCGGAAAGAACTCTTAGCCGAGGCTGTGTCGATTCACTCGGGACGACACGTTCTGCAAAACTTTCAGCCGCTTCGTGAATCGTTGATCGATGACGAGTTTCGTTTCTCAAAATCGACAGAGAAACACCGTATCGAGAATTAATCGATCATATAAAATTTTCAATTTTAGACGTTGGCACGAATATGAGAAATCGGGAGGGAGAGAAGAAACTTTATATACTTATTATTAAGTTAACTTGTCTTTTGTCAGAAACAAGAAATTGTTCGTTTTTATATACCATTTCTCAATCACACGTTAGATGCGCAAAAAATATTAAAACAGTTTTACATGAATACGGTTTACATTATTCAGAATTTTCTATGACAGTCTTGTTACCCCATTTAAGATATTATCAATTGTACGAACTTACAAAAAGAATGACATATAAAGAGACAGAAACGTAATATATTTGAAAAAAAAGATCGCAACATTTCTTGTTTCGCAAGAAATTTAATTTCCTCTCTATTTTAATGTCAAATTTTAATCTCAACGTATACAAAGGAAAATTCTACAATGTGACAAATATGATAAAAAATTTTTAATTAATTTAGTGGTATCTATTTTTGTAGTTGTACTTGCTATAGATTCAAAATAAATGATGTGTCAAAATCGGACTGTTTGCCTTGCTAAAGTAAGAAAGGGAAGAAGGCAAAAATAGAAAATAGAGGCAAGTGCGAACAAGAAACTCAAATAAGATAAGCGAAACAAAAAGAAAAAATGCTGCACGAAAGTACCATATAAAGGTGGTTCCCTGATTCGAATAACAGGGTGACGTGTAAATGTCTGCCGAGTGAAATCTCCCAAATTCGCGACTCGAGATGCGCTGAGAAAGCATGGTGGTCGCAGAAATCGCCGATTCGAGAACGATACAACACGAATCGAGAGATGGCGAACGACGATTTCGCCTGGTCAGAAATTCAAGGAGAGCCGTCGAGAATATTCGATGTTGATCCTCGAGTTTGCAATTTCTCTATTGCATCGAAGAGATTCAGCTCGTATAAACACACGATTAACACGTTTGTACTGAATTTCGTGCTCCATTCGTGTTAATTGCGAAATATCAAATCTATTTAATTGTAAGACTAAAACTCTTAATCGTAATTATATTCCAATACATTTCTTATTCTCATTTCTTCGCAATTGATCGTCCAGAATTATTAATTCTGATTATCTTGATTATTTAAATTGTATGAAATCTCCATTAAAAAATAAATCCTGCACCCTTAGAAAGGGGAAAATAAATCATGCATCACTTATTTATTATTATTTATGACAGATTATTATTATTAACGCCAGTTTAATGCTCATATGCCTCGAGATAATAGCTCCCATTAGTCTGTGTCGTTTGGTATAATTAACACTTTGAGTCCGGCGAGCTACATTGCAAATCCCACCGCGGTGTTAATACACTCTCCGGATTCAAAGTATTAATTAGTGTGTTGTATATTAATAATGTATCTATAAATTCGGGGATGCCGAAGGCAATACATTTATCGTCGAGTTATTACTCTCTTGCTAACAAAAATATTAAAATCAATTAACATTTATTTTCAAACTCATCATGATTATTTTGAAATTCCTCAATTTATTATCACAATTATAAATATATCAGCTCTATAAGTAATTCGATTGCAATGTCAAATCAAGATGGTAAATCCTTGATGTGACATAGATAGTATACACCCTTAAATAAGACACACAAGATGATCGTCGTTAACGTATCTTTCCTGATTTCTCGTTAGTATTTTATCCGCTAGACAATGTATTGATGGATCGCGGTAAACTATCTCTTAAATCTTAACAAATAGGTCGATCCAACGGATGTGTTTACTTGATAGCTCACTTTTGGAAAACGCTGTAAGACAGAAAGTGCTCACACTCTACAAAAGTTTTCGTCGAATGTACGCCGACATTCCCAAGCGGATCTCGCATCGAAAAGTATGTCCCGATTGTGACTCCGAAGTTTCGTCCGCTACACTAATACCGGGTGATCAGATAGAAATCACAAATCCGTTCAACAAAGTACTTAAATTGCGTTTAGATTGCACAACTTAGATTGTACATTTTATCAATCGCAATTCGAGAAACAAAAGAAAAATAAAATAAAGAGAAAAATATTAAAATAACTATTCCGATCACATAAAACTATTATCCGTTAACCCATTGTTTTAGCATATAATCAAAGTATTGTCTAAAGTATGATTTACACTAAACACTAAAATACTCCATAACTTTTCTTTTCTGTTCTTTTCTGGATACAAAAAATTAAATTTATTCTATACATACGTTTATTTCTAAATTTTTATTTTGTCATCCGGTATACGAGTACATGCATATGTGCGTAAAGTCGAAGATGTTGAGAAACTTTGACGATAACGCGATAACGGATAATATGTGAGAAATGTCTTTCCGTGTTTTCAACGAATATCAAACCATAGCTGACCTCTTTCCGGCTTAACAAAAGGTAAAAAAATTTTGGACAAAAATTCGTTGCTAAGAAACTATGGAGAAACCTTTCCAAATTGTACCAAGCCGGATGCAGCGAAACCTGTCATGAATGTTGTATTTTTTCTTGAACAAACTGTATTGTTTGCGCAAAAGCATCGTTGTGCAATTTGTTTGCCAACCGAGATAAAAAGTGTGCGAGTGTGTACGTTTTTATCTATTCCGACCGTTTGTTTTAATCTCGTAATGCGTGTTTTCGCACAATATACCGTCGAAATATCGTTTCACAAAATGAACACTATCGACCCTCTCGCAAATATTTTCCTTCCCAAGTAGAAGCGTGTTCTACGCAAGAAAGATAGAGAATTTTAAATGCTACGATATATTTGTATATTTTCCATTGCAATTTGCATCTTCCCCAAATATTTCCATAAAAAAATTTTTGCTAAAAAATACAAACAAATAAATAAGAAAATAAATTATTTTATATCACAAAAAACACATAAATTTAATCTAAGTATAATAATTATTATCAAATCGAATACACAATTTTTTTTTTTTTTTAAGTTAAATAATAAAAATTTTGTAGTCAATTTTTAATTGCAATAGTTTTACAATTTTGTAAGATTTTATACATTTAATATAATTGCAAAATATGCAATTATCAAAAACCTTTGTTACAATCTCGTAGTCTGGAATAATAATGCAGGTATATACTGGTCTTTTCTGCTTTAGCAATGCTACGTTTCTTTGTTAGCAATTAAGCAAAAAAGAAAACTTGCGCCGAACAAGTTTATCTTTGTATCTAGAACGACTATCAAGATGCGCGAGAAGCGTTGACTGCAAAAATAATTTTAATCCTCTAGTCAAACCCACGCGTCTGACCTGTGATCTTCTATACTACTGGATCTCTTTTTACAAAAACCGTGATGAAATCATACGATTATTCTGATTCAATCTCAAAGCAAACTTTAATTTTATCGCTTCGCAAAATCCTTTTACAAATGCACGAGCGATTTTTCTCACCTGTGAAACGTCGACCTATGGGCCCTATTATTATCTCCGCTGTTCTCGAAGCCGCTCGCTCTCCGCGACAATATAATTACAACATCCCACGCGACCCTATATAGCTGTGTAATTAACCTACAGCCGACCGTTTCTCGCGAAATGGAAGAAATTTAAATACTAATAACCCAGAACGCGTAGTCAATCTTGGAGGACGCGCGCAGAACAATTCTCAACGATCTAACGAGATGCCAGATGCTCCGGAAAACTTTATCAGAGCTGCTCTAGAAACGTCACTTTATTTTGCTTCTTTTTCCACTCGAATTTTCTTTGTCACTTACCGTTATCGTTATTTAATCCCAAGATGGTGAAGTGCCGTGAAATAGCAGTTTTGATAATCATGGATAAATTTCTGGTGCATTTAAAATGTCACGATAAAAACCAATATTTTCACAGACCTATTGTATGACATAATCATATCTCATATCCGAACGTGTGCTTATATTATACTGTATTTACAGGGAACAGTCGGCGAATTAATCTACAGACTTGTCGCATGAAATAATAATCAATATATTAATAGGGAAATTAATTAACATTAACAGAGAAATTACGGTCACTCATTGTTGTCGCAAAATACATTACGATAAATCATCATTATTAATTAAATCAGATTTAATTAATTGTCGTTCACTTCGATGGATCGCTTGTATAGCACGATTTTTACATGAAGATAGTGGAAGAGTGAGAGAAAAGTAGGACGCTCCCTTATCTGCTTTTAATCTATGATTGAACGCGGCTGTAGACACATTTTTTCGAATTTCCGAGTGAGCTGCATACTGCGCGCGCGTATTATCTGCATATGTATCGCGGTTATCGCGTGAGTTTTGTTTTACAGGAATTATTTTTAGCGTTGAGGATATGGTACACACATACACGTACACATGACAATGTAAAGCATCGAAATTTTTAAACCTACTGCAATATTGTTAATTAAACACAAAAATCATCCAGTTCGTAATTTTGCAATAATTATTTAAATTGACAGAAAGTTTCTTTTTTTGATCTTTCAACGCGAAGCCGTAAAACATATGTGGTTACAATATTAATAAATAATATTTCGATTTAAAATAATAAATGTATGATTTGGTAATATGCTCTCATTTAACATGTATGATATTTTAAATATAGAAAACTGATACACTTTTAT